CCATACTCTTGGGTTCTAATTGCTGTTAAGTTGGGTGCAGTAGTGTTGTGGTAAATATTACTTGGGGGTTTCTATCCCACTTTAGACCATGAGTTCTCAAATAAAAGACACAAAACATTTATATTAACAATAAGCCTTAAGACATTAGAGCTGGTAAGACATCAACCCTCTATGCTAGTTCTCTACTTCCTTATCAGCAACCCCAGGATATCACTTGTCATGTTCTGCCTGGGATGCTCCTACTCCAACAGACTGGCCCTCATGGACATGCTTTTGTGACTCACCTCCCCCATGGTGCCTTCCTCCTTCCTCCTCTTCCTTTCTTCCTCTGGGTCTCTCCTCAGACCCAAGCCTAGGAACCAAAACCCTGCCTACCTCTCTTCTGCCCAGCTATAAGCTGAAGGCATCTTTATTAACCAATAGTTTTAAATTAAGGAGCAAAATTTGAACAACAAAATCTGGCATACATGAGAATGCACTCTCTTAAAGTAACTAGACCTTGTGATACAGAATTTAGCATTATAATACATAGCAACAGACCAAACCTCAGCAGTGTGTGGCAATTTTAAGCATCTGTTGTGTAACAGTTTTCTCCACAATTAAACATGCCCTTCGGGGTTAGAGAGATGGCTCAGTGGTTAAGAGCACTGACTGCTCTTCCAGAGGTCCTGAGTTCAATTCCCAGCAACCACATGGTGGCTCACAACCATCTCTAATGGGATCCAATGCCCATTTCTGGTGTGTCTGAAGACAGCTACAGTGTACTCATACATAAAATAAATGAATATATCTAAACATGCCCTTCTGCAGGAAGCTCCTTAAACAGACAGGTAAGTAACTCAAAAGAGCTTCAGGAACTACCTGAAACTGACCAAATTCACTAGGCCCTTCTCTGACAGAGTAAGCAATAAAAGCAGAGTCCTCCTCAGACAAAAGGAAGCTGAGCTCAAAGACTCTCTGAGAAGAAAAACTACAAAGATAATTCTGGCAACAGACCAGCTGCACGGAAGACACAGAAACCATCACAGCCCCCTACAAAAGGTTTAGAAACAATTAAGGCCCTTGGACACTCTCCAACTCGTAGAGCTGCCCGCAGGCTCTTCAGTGTGCTCCAAGTTCACAGTTGTGTGAGCTGCCCCTATGCTAGAGTGTGCTTTGGTGATACAGCTGTCTTTGAGTCATTTTTTGACCTTATAAGTAACCCCTTACCCATTGTGGTGGTTTGAATAGGTATGGCTTCCATAGACTTTTGTATTTGTATGCTTGGTCCATAGGGAGTGGCACTATTAAGAGGTACGGCCTTGTTGGAGGTAGTGTGTCACTGTGGTGGTGAGCTTTAAGGTCTCTAATGCTCAAGCTACACCCAGTGTGGCACACAGATTCTCCTTCTGCTGCCTTCAGATGAAGACGTAGAACTCTCAGCTCCTTCTCCAGCACAGCGTCTGCCAGGATGCTGCCATGCTTCCTGCCATGATAATAGACTGAACCCCTGAAACCCATATTTCTGTAACTGATATGTGTTTTTCTCTCTCAGTGATACAGATATAGGCCAGATTATAGCAGATTAAAAGTAGATAAAGGCAGGTTTATTAGGAGGCAGCTCTCAGGTGGGTTCACCGATCTCACTGATAGGGAGGTCAGGGAGGTCATATATCAGTCAGACTTTTTATAGTGCTTAGGTGAGGAGTAATGATGTGTCAGCCAAGAGCTGAGATTGTGCCCATACATGATGTCTTAGTTAGAGTTTTGCTGCTGTGAACAGACACCATGACCAAGGCAAATCTTATAAAGGACAACATTTCATTGGGGCTGGCTTTCAGGTACAAAGGTTCAGTCTATTATTATCAAGGCAGAAATATGGCAAGATCCAAAGAGGCATGGTGCAGGAGGAGCTGAGAGTTCTACATCTTTATCTGAAGGCTGCTAGCAGAACGCTGGCTTCCAGGCAGCTAGGTTACAGGTATTAAAGCCCACACCCACAATGATACACCTACTTCAACAAGGCCACACCTACACCAACAGGGCCACACCTTCTAATAGTGCTACTCCCTGGGCCGATCATATACAAAACATCACACATGGTCAAAAACTGAGCCCCTGAGCAGGCATTCTTGGGTGGGTTGCTGGAAACAGGGAGACGAGGTATAAGGGTTCAAGAGTTGCTAAAGGAAAACCTCAAAGTTAAATAGTGTGTAAAAACTAGAGTGTTTATTCTTCAGAAACAATCAATATCATTGATCAGCCATTTATATACAATGGAGACCCTCAGGAGGGCGTGCAAGCTTCTTTTAAGCACAGATAAGATAATTCTAGGGATGGTTAGGTCATTTTTAATATGATTGGCTAGGTAAGCAGCAGTTACCTTTTTTTATTGGTTGCTATATTAGTTTTACCACTTTTGGTCAGGCCTTAGATAAATTCCAGGAACTGTCTCAGTCTTTGGACTGGTTGTCTCTCTTGGCTAGAAGCCAGGGCTGTTGCTGACTAGTGGCCCACTGTGGTTTTTCTGAGAAGCCTTGCCTGCTTCCTTGGGAAACTGAAGCTTAAAGCCTAACATGGCTGCCTATTCTAAAATGGAGTGATTTAAGTTCTCTCAGAAGAGTGATGACATGTCAGCCTAGAGTTTTCTTCAAGTAAATGGGGTTGGGGGAAGGAGGGCAGACCTGTTTCCTAGCTTGGGCAGGAGATGAGCAGGGGTTCCAGCCTAACAATAACCCCATAAAACTCATTAGTTCATGGAATTGGACTGTGGTGGCATCAGGACTTTAGTCCATCATGAGTTTTCTATCTGGGCTGAGATGTGTGTATGTCTTCCCAGGAGAAGTGTCGTCACACAATGTTTCATTGACAGCTTCCTGTGTGTTCAGTCTCCATAGTTATCATGCCAACAGCCACATGGCACGCTACTGATACCTTGTTAGTGGAGGGTGGAGGGGGGCTCAATGGCTAAGATAAATACTGCTCTTGCCAAACAGGAGAACTTGATTCTGTACTAGTAATAATATTTTTTGTTGCTGTGGTAAAACACAATGATCAAAAACAAGAACTCATTGGCTCACTGTCCCAGAGGAAGGGTCCATGTTGTCAGGGGAGGCATGGTAGCAGATAGCAGGAGCAGGAACCTGGGTGTCCTGGTTGCTTTTGTTTGTTTTGTCAAGTTGACACAAGCCAGGGTTATGTAACTTATTTGAGAGGAAGCTCAACTAAGAAGATCTCTCTGTTATTAATGGTTGTTGACGTGGATGGGCCCAGTCCTGCAGGGAAACCTCTGGGCTGGTTTTCCTGAGTTGAATATGAAAGTATGCTGAGCAAGCCACAAGGAACAAGCCAATAAGCAGTACTCCTTCCTCCATGGCTTCTGCTTCAGCTCCTGCCCTGACGTCCCTCAATGACGGACTGTGACATGGGAAGAGAACTGAAATAAACACCCTTTCCTCCCTTCCTTTTAGTCACATTGTTTTACCTCATCAACAGAAATCTAAGACACCAGGAGATCATGTCTTTAACTACAAACACAAATCACAAAGTATGACCTGGAAATGGGGCAACTCTCAGAGCCTGCCTGCAGGGACAGACTTTCTCCAGTAGGGTTCCCTGTTCTAAAAGTTCTATAACCTTTCCCAAAACAGAGAAACATGCTTCATTCAAACCACCACAAGCAGACAGCTTACAAGTGGTGCCTGTAACTCCAGCTCCAGGGGACCTGACTTCTTTTGGGAACTCTGAAGGCACCTGTACTCACATGTGCACAGACTCAACACACACACACACACACACACACACAATCTAAAAATAAGAGAATTTTTTTTTTATTTTAAGAGAGAAAATGTGAATGTACCATAATTGGGTGAAACACATCAAGGCACATGCAGGGGTGTGGCCATTTTCTGTTGGAAACAAGGCTGTCATAAAGACTTGTATTGTAGGGGTACAGTTGGATCCCAGTTGCTTCCTCCTTTGTGAGTAGTCTGCGTTATTCAAGGACCCTATGGCTTGAAATACCACTAAGCACCTGTCAGTAGGGAGCCAGGCCTTCATCGAACACATGATAGTGTTTTCCATTGATGTCTAAAAGACAGCATCAGATCAAGAGCCAGATCCTTGGAGGGAGGTTTTAGAAGTTCTCACACCCCGCCCCCCAACCCCCACTGCCCCTTGGACTCAAGCCAACGAGTGCATACAGGTTTTCCAAATCTTTTCATTCCCAGCAGTCAAGGCAGCAGACACAGATAAACATTTTGTCCACGGAGCAGATGGGTGAAAAACTTTAGGTCCACGGAGGGCATTACTCTGCTTTTCCACTCCAAGATCCAGAGTTTGCCAGAGAAGCTCCAGCCTTAGTTGACAAAGCCTAGAATTCCCTCTCCAAGGCCTTTCTCAGAGGTCAGCCCTGAATTTACACCGTGACCTCTATCTGGAGTAAGCTAATGAATCTGGTGGCCCAGCGTGGTATTAAGATCCTTCAGATCTTGACTCCTGGGGGTCCCTCTGGAGACCCAGCCAAGAATTCAGCCTGTGCTTCAACCAAAATGTCTACACATTTTCGCAGCAGTAATCCTGCAAAGTTTACAGAAACTCAAGCTGGTGAGAACCTGACCTCTAGAGTCGGATTCCCCACGCGCCACGTGGTGGAAGGAGAGAACCAATTCCCCCAAGCTGTCTTAGGCGTCCAACCACACGTCTTGGCATATTCCCACTCCATTTAATAAATAGGTGTAAAGTATTTATTTAAGACTTGTACTATAGCACGTGTTCTTGCATGCTCCTGCAGAACTTCAAGTTGGAGTTGCATCTAGGGATTAGTAGAGGCAGTAAGAGTCTAAATCGCAGCCTGCCCGCCCGAGGTGAGCAGAAGCACAAACAGTTCAGGAGCGACTTGCCAGGGGCGGGGCCGCGCGTCACGCCCAGGAGCCGCGTCACCGCCAAGCGCGCCGCCGAGGGAGGCGGGAGGGAGGGAGGGAGGGAGTGCGGCGCGGCGGCGCGTGTGCGTAGCCCGCTCCCGGGCCATGGCTGGCTGGGCGGGGGCCGAGCTGTCGGTCCTGAACCCGTTGCGTACGCTGTGGTCGGCGCTGGCCGCCGCCTTCCTGCTCGCGCTGCTCCTGCAGCTGACGCCCGCCAGGCTGCTGCCGAGCTGCGCGCTCTTCCAGGACCTCATCCGCTACGGGAAGACCAAGCAGTCCGGCTCGCGGCGCCCCGCCATCTGCAGGGCCTTCGACGTCCCCAAGAGGTAACCTCGGTGGCGGGGCGCGCCCGGCAGGGGGCAACAGAGGCAGCTCGGGCACGTGAGCCAGGGGCTGCCCGGAGCTGTCCCCGGAAATGAAAGAGCATCTCTGTATCGGCCCAGTCCCCAGAGAGCCGCCCTAGCTTCTTTATCCCCAGTTTTCCGCGTCCCCTCCCCTGAACTCGAGGTCGTGGAAGTTCATGGACGTGGAGAAAAGTTCTTCCTCGATTTCCCCAGTTCTTGGCCTGATCTGTCACAGTCAGGAAGGATGTCCAGAGGGTGCTCCCCTGGGGCTGTGCTGACATCCCTAACCTGCCTCTCTACAGGTGCCTCCCCCACCCCATCCTGGAAAGTTCAGTTAACCAAGTTGTGAAATACTAAAATCTTCTGGGGCACACATAGACTCCACGGAGACTATGTGAGACCTGCCATATGACTTTCTCATATTTTGCTCCACTTTGAATTCCGTATGTAGATGGAGAAGTCATCTTAACACAGTATTCTACATAGCAAAGCTGTCGTTTTCTGTGAAATTCATCATGCTTTTGCTTTTACAACTGAATTTGAAGGAATGTGGTGAGTTCTGATGGATTCATCTAGGTTGTTTTCTGTAGACTTGCAGATGGCGGGGGACTATCAACTGGCCCCAGCTCTCTCTTGACTGTTGGAAGAGGTCTATCAGGGGTTTAGTGTGAGAGCAGAGATCGCGACGTCATTGTGAAGAATGAATGGTAAAGAGATAAGGCCCGGAAGAACTCTTGCTTACAGGCTCACTTTTAAGAAGATGAGCAGATTTTGCCATCCTCTTGTCCTCGGGTTTGATCGGCCTATATTCCTTACGCTATATTGCAATTTACTTTCTGACTTTTGAGAAAGGTCCTAGTATCCCCGGATTTCAAAGCACAGTTAAAAATCACTTCGATTCTTTTGGGCGGGACTCCTCAGCTGTTACACTCAGGTCTGCCTTTATGTAACAGCCAAGAAAGAGGTGGACCTTCCCTGTATTCATCCCTGTAATACTTGGTACCCTGGGCTTCTTGTAATTCTTCTAGGATTGTGAAATAATTACTCTTTCCTTCCAGAAGGTAGAGCAGAACCACCCATGGTGTCCAGGTGCTCTGAGGTGATGGGGCTATTGTTGTTTTCCCCTAAATTGTTGTCGTTGTTTTTTTTTTTTTCTTCAGTAATGGAGAAGGTCCAACAAATCCAAGCCAATAGGGAAAGGCATTTGTAATTGAGACATAGATTTTAAAAAGAAAACGGGAATATTTGCATCAAAACATTATCCTTTGTGATTGCTGCCTCCCTCTTTATATGAAAGGGGGTAACAGGAGATGGGTAAAGTCACTTTCCAGTGACAGGTTTTCCCCTTCCCTCTGTTTCCAGAGGACCTCCCATGACACTGTGCTTAGCATATTCAGACTGGGAAAATAATACTAAAGTGAGTTAGCGCTACCACAGCGGAGTTGCCTGTATGTCATGTGCTAATGACTTGAAAGTCTTTCTTCCCTTGGTCCTCATGACAGACCTGTGAGGGACCTGTGAGCTTCAGGATTCTCACCCATGTGTGCATAAATTCAGGCTGGTTGTACCATTGAGTGTGGCGGCTAGCCCTTGCAGCCTGCCTGGCGGCGTGAGATGCCAAACTCTTGACCTCCAGGGTGCCTTGGCAAGCTTTTGTATGGTGCAGACCTGAGTCATGTCTTAAAAAGTCAAATGGCGGTGGATTTACCCCAGCGGGAGGCACTTTGTAATATCTTGATTAATCCAGATTTTATAGTATTTGGTAACCTTAGCTAATGTGCTTAGGACTTAAAATATTTTGAATAGTTTCTCCTTGTGCAAATTGTAATGACATTGTCAGGAATGAAAATAAAAATTAAGTCGGTGACTTCTACGTTTACAAACAGGCAGCATGGAACCCCGTTTCTGCACATATGGTAGTATTTAGGTCATTTAGTTGGTAATTATCTTCTCCTAAGGAAGCAAGAATAAAACCTAAGTCAGTTCCTGGAATGTTGTTTTCTGTTCTTCAGCATGGGACCCATTGTTTGTTTGTTTGTTTGTTTGTTTGAGTTTTCAGATTGTATGTCCCTCTCACCTGGCCCATGGTAAAGCTCAGATACAGTATCTTCAGTGAGGCCTTCCGTAACTGCCTTACTTAAAATGATAATTCTGCATTCACCAACAGTCCTTCTTCCTCCCTGCGTTCTGCCTCAACCCACAATAATCACCCAAGTGGTTGCTGGTCAAAGGAGTACCCACCTCAAACCATATACAGTCAAAGATTGCAGTGTCCCTACTCCCAGGACTTGGAAAAAGGCACTTCTAGGAAGCAAGTCACGGAAGGAGGAAAACGGAGGAGTGAGTCTTAGCCCAGAAGGCAGTGGGGATTTGAGATCTGCATTTTGAGTCTTTATAAAGACAAGCAAGACATAGGACCTCCTGTAAAGACTAGAAAGTGTTTCGTGAGACTAGAAAAACAATAATGTGTATTTAAACCGAAATTGCCACAGGAGAAGTAGCACCATATGTGAGGCATGGCTCAGCAATTGGTTTGAAACAGCTGATTCACCTGCCTGTAGGTTTCACACAAACCGGCCGTGTGTGACGCAGGGCTAGGAAAAGAATTTCAGGCAAGCCTTGTCTGCAGGCAAGGGAGTGCAACAGTGTGCTATAAACACCTCCCATTCTAGCTGCATCTAGAGCCAGCTGCTGCCACTGCTGTGCCCTTGAATAAGAAACCTTTGGTTTTCAATGTGCCATGCGAAGAGAGCAAACTATGGAATTGTTGTGAAGATGAAATTTCATAATCATGCCTCTTCCCCTAGTTCTCAGGCTACATCCTTTGTGTCACAACTAAACAGTCTCTGTGTCACCAGGAGATGGCTGTTTTATGTGTGTCTCATTCATTTTTGTTTAGGGATGTTTTGCCTGCATATATGTCTGGGCACCATGTACATGCCTGGCGCCCCTGGAGGAGAGAATAGGGAGTCCTGCCCCTTGGAACTAGCTGGGTTTGATGTTAACCACCATGTGGTGCTGGGAATTGAACCTTGGTCTCTTGGGAGAGCAGCAAGTGCTCTTAACTGCTGCTCAGCCATCTCCCCAGCCCATCTCAAAATATTCAGATGGATATTTTGAAACTTTAGAAAGGACTGAATAATGATTTTCTTTTAAAAAGTGCTTTATTTTGGTAAGCCTAGATGGTTCTCCAGTACTAAAGCCAGCATCCTTCCAGGGCTCTGGGTCCTCTGTCCTCTCTTCCAGGTTATGATACACAGCCCCAAGGGAGCCACAGATGGAGCACACCCAGCACAAACCCCAGTCAGGGCCTTTGTAGTCTTTTCCTCTGCTAGGAAAATGTGCAAGGTACCCTGCTTAATAGTGTACACTCTAAATCCATCCATTTTCCTGCAAGATTTTAACTTCATATGGAATGTTTAGACTTAGGATGTCTGCTTTTAAGGAAGTGAAGTCACACAACCTCACGAAGAAATAAACCAAATATCCTCCCTCATATGCAGACTCTAGCCAATGATCCAGGTGCATGCAAACACATGTACATGTGGCTACGTTATAACATAAAGAAAGGAGAAGAAAAAAGGCTAAATATAAGGGAGGAAGGACTGAATATAGGACACCAGTTATGAAGAAGGATATAGAACTAATTGTTTTTCTAATTCTGCCATGAATTTTTGTTTTTGGGTTGTTTTTTGTTTTTGTTTTTGTTGTTGTTGTTGTTGTTGTTGTTTTTGGTAGCAGATAAGTGCAGAAAATATATTAGGTACTGAAAGTGAAAAATCTAATGTACAACTTCACAGCTCCATTTGGAATGCCCACTCTAACTGTATAGAAGGGCATTCAGTTGTATAGACCTTAGGTCTAGCTAATTTTGGTGTGTCGTAGTTTTATTTATTTGCAAGTTTGGGTTTTTAAAAAAGATTTATTTATTTTATTTTTATGAGTAAATTGTAGCTGTCCTCAGACACACCAGAAGATGGCATCAGATCCCATTCCAGATGGTTGTGAGTCACCCTGTGGTTGCTGGGAATTGAACTCAGGACCTATGGAAGAGCAGTCAGAGCTCTTAACCACTGAGCCATCTCTCTAGCCCCCTCAAGGTTTTTGGTTTTTTTAATAATAAAGTTTATTTAAAAACCTTTTAATGGAAGCATGGAAGGGTTGCATATTCTATGCAGATGTCCCTTCCAGAAAAGCCACCAAATCACCGACCCAGAATAACATCTCTATGACTTTGGTCCCTTATCAAATGTTACAGTAGACTCCTGAAACATTACCAACCCCACTAAAAAAGTCTTCCATTAAGACATAGGCTGGGTCTGTTTACATCCTTCAAGTTCAGGTTCCTAGAAGTCGGCCTAACACACTTTAAGTTGGACCTAAATATTTATGAAAGAAAAAAATAGATCAAGCACCCAGCCCTTCCCTCTCCCCAAAACCCACAAAGCATACAGTTAAAAGCTTTCTTAACCTTCTGCTATGGCCAGAGTGTCCGTCCTGCACTTGTGCTAAGTTCCAGGCAGTGTGTGTTAAGGATAACCTGGAACACAGCTGACGCTGGGTGCTATGGTGGCAAAAGGCTGCCATGCACAGACTTTTGAGAAAATGAGGCCTCTCTTCAGGTGGTTTCAGAACAGTTGGGCGGATAATTCTGGTGGGATTTATCAACTGCAGCTGGGAGCACAGGATGATGGGATTAGATCAGAGTCTGTCAAACTGGATTTCTGGGCATGTGCGTAGGCTAGAGCTATGACTTCTTTTACAAGCATATTCTGGCCCTTGTGAAAAGACTTCTGAGCCTGTGTTTAATTCTCTTTGGTCCCAGGTCATTGATTGCCTCAAGGCAAAGTGAAAAGAAGAAAAGGAGTTTATTATTGGTGCATGAAAGACCCTGGGGTGGGGGAGTTCTCATGATTACCTGAATTGATTTGATTAGAGGACAAAATCCAAGTTGAGCATCTCTAACTCAAAAATATGAAATGCTTCAACATCTAAGACTCTTGTATGTGGACACAGTGCCCCATGTAGAAAAATCCCACACCTACCTTCCTGACAGTTAAACAGCAGATAACATTAAACAGTAACATTCATATAAGGCCACCTTTAGCATATCAGATATATAATGTATTAGTCATATAAGTACATTCTGTGTTTAGACTTGGGTCTCGAGCTTCAAGTTCTCTGTCAGTATATATGCAAAAATCCTAGGTGTTTCAGAGAGGAGATACTCCAGCTGTGGTAGGAAAGGCATAGGAGGGTGGAACCTCAGAAGAACCGTCTCGGGAGCTGGGGAGGTGGCTCGGGCATGTACCCCAGTGGTCCTGGTGGCATGTTAAGTGATTTTGTTTTATCAAATCAACATCATCTCTTACATTAAACTAGCTTAGCATCACTAATTTCATTCCATTGGTTTTGTGCCTTTATGTTTCTTTGCTTTGTAAATAATTCATTGCAAAATAGCTTCATGGTCTTAGTCGTTGGAGAAATAGAATCATAAGGAGTTGCCACCTGGCATTATTGTTGCAACTTTTTTCATATTATAAAAAATTAATTTGGAAGTCTGAGGGGAAAGAAAATGGATCAGGTAGTAAAGTGCCTGCCACGTAAGCACGAGGAACTGAGTTCCACCCCTAATGCATACAAAAAGCTGGACATAGTACATGCACCTGTAATCCCAGTGCAGGGGAGGATGGGAATTACTGACCCGCTAGTTTAGCTGAAGTTGTACACAGTTACAAACGCCCTGACATGTCGAACGTGGGTCTTTGGCAACAGTCCGTGCACGCGCACACACACATATAAATGATAATAATTTTTTAAATTTTTAAAAAGGTGTATGAGACTGCAAAGATGGTTTAGCAGATGGTTTAGCAGTTAAGAGCATTCGCTGCTGTTTCAGAGGACCAGGTTCAATTACTGCGATCCAGTTTGGGATCTAATGGACTTTCACAGATCTCACTGGTGTGTTAGCATGGTCTAGTTCTCATGAGCAGGGAGCTTCAGCTCCATGTGAGAACTCAGGGACCATTCTTGTTACCCAGAGATGAGAGATTGTTAAATGATCCCTCTTCTACTCTGATTTAATGGGTCTCGTGATTTGGAAGTACCATTTGGACTATTCCCACCTGTAGAATCCAGGTTGTGTACTGTTCTGGGGTGTGGGTGGGGCCGGGTGTGGGTGGGGCCGGTCCTGGGACTTGTGGAGCTTGTAGCTGGTGGCTGCCTAACTCTTCCTCCCTTCGCAGGTACTTTTCTCACTTCTACATCACCTCAGTGTTGTGGAATGGCTCCCTGCTCTGGTTCCTTTCTCAGTCTCTGTTCCTGGGAGCACCTTTTCCAAACTGGCTTTGCGCTTTGCTCAGATCTCTTGGAGCCACGCAGTTCCAAGGTAATTTGGCTCCCTGGCCTGTTCTTCGTTCCTGTCCGTGTTCTCTCCAGTCAGGTCCCTCTGTAGGTCTGGTAAGCAGAGGGCAGATGTTTAGTTGGTTCCCAGTTCTCAGTGGCCAAGCCCAGGGTCAGGCTCTGGTCTGCTGTCTCAAAACCCTGTGCTGAATGCAGGATTGGCTGTTCTCCTTCTGATATCATTAGTGTGTGATAATCTTATAAAGACAGCCTCACACACGCTGGGGAAGCTTTGGAAAAACCTCGAGTTTGCATGGATACCTTTATCATTTATACTGCCACAGAGTCATGCCTTAGGGCTCACAGACACTTGACTTTAAAAATTACTCTTGGTAAACTTTTAGAAAGGCTTGGAAGCTGCTGAGATGGATCAGTGGGTAAGGGCATTCCCAACAGGCATGATGATCCAAGGTACATCTGCAGGACCTACATTGTGGAAAGAGGAGGCTGACTCCTACAAGTTGTCCTTTGACCTACATCACACACACACACACACACACACACACACACTCACACACCCCACATGCTCTCAAGAGAGTAAGCAAATTAGTTAATTAAAAAAGAACCATGTTATATTGTGAGTCTTTGGCTAAACAATGAAACTGAGTAGCAGCGGTAGGGGCTTTGTAAAAAAAAGGATTCGGTGTCCTAATGCGTGTGTGCTTTTGATGCTTACCGTGTTTGTGTATGTGTGCCCTTGATGCTTATCATGTTTATGCATGTGTGCTCTTGATGCTTACCGTGTTTATGCATGTATACCCCTTTGTTGCCTATCCTGTTTATGTATTTAGAAGATTAGATTTGAGGAATTTTTATTATTTGTTTTAACATATTCATAAAGAATTGAAAACTGGGTTTTAATTTACTTAAAATATAAAGAGCGAAGTGCATCTATACTGGTAGAAGTTAGAATGGAGTCCTTAACCTTGGGGTAGGGTCATACTTAGAAAGAAACACTAGGGCTGGTCAGGTTCTGTGTGTGTGTGTGTGTGTGTGTGTGTGTGTGTGTGTGTGTATGAATGAATGCACTATCACTGTCCTCAGACACACCAGAAGAGGGCATCAGATCTCATTACAGATGGTTGTGAGCCACCATGTGGTCACTGGGAATTGAACTCAGGACCTCTGGAAGAGCAGTCAGTGCTCTTAATCGCTGAGCCAGTTCTTAACCTGAGTGCCAGTAATACCTGGGAATAAAAATTCGCCAAGCTGTGTCCTTGCAGTGGGCATCTGTGTTGCTCTTTTCAAAGAGGGACTAGAGTTTATGATATTTTAAAAATGAGCTTTTGCTCATGTCCTCAAAGCACTTAATGATGGGCGTGCAGGAAGGTGGATCGTGGGACCCGCTATCTCTCCAAACATGTCATGTCTCTTCTGCTTTTCCTTTGGCAGCCCAGGAGACGGAGTCCAAGGCTTCTCGGATGCTAGGCAAGTGCTTCACTATTCAACTCCAACCCCTGTTCTTTAAAAAAAAAAAAAATCTGGAAAGGAATATTCACTATTTGATGCCTGCCTCTGTCTCTGCCTTGATGGGTGGGTGTGGCCCCGGGGGCCCACCAGATAGGCCTGATCCTACATCAACATAGGCCTCTCCCTGACAATCTGCATTCAGGAGTTGGTACAGGAACTAAAGATTCATGGACCCTGAGTCCTGAGCACCTCGGAGCACCTCCACCCTTTATGGTGATGCCCATGTGCCCAGGAAGGCTTTTGAATGAGGGAGTCAGAGATGAGTGTTGCCCCCCTTCCCAGCACTCTGCCACTAATTTACCATGTGACTCGTTCAGCCTGTGTCCTCATACTTTGAAAGAGGAAGCGTTAGTTCAAATGGCCTCCGTGGCCGTTTGACTCTGGTCTTAGGTTCCACAGTGGGTAAATGCAACCCTTGACTTAACCCTGGAGGCGAGACTGAGTATGCTCCTTCTCTCCTGCGTTGCAGCAGGTGAGCTGGCTCTGTCTGCCTTCCTGGTGTTGGTGTTCCTGTGGGTCCACAGCCTCCGGAGACTCTTCGAGTGCTTCTACGTCAGCGTCTTCTCCAATGCAGCCATTCACGTGGCGCAGTATTGTTTCGGGCTTGTCTACTATGTCCTCGTTGGCCTGACGGTACTGAGCCAAGTGCCCATGGATGACAAGAATGGTAAGTGGCCCTTGCGGTATAGGTTCCAAAGTCATCATGTCACCACGTAGATACTTTAACTGTGATGGCTAAAACCTAGGCACACTAGCGTCAGCAGCGGAGACTTCAGGGACGATAGAAAGTACAGGGCACTCCGGGGCTGTTTAAGGATCATGAAGTTAAAGCTGTGTGGGGAGGAAGGTGAGCCGAGCTCTGAGCAGCAGGTGGGAGACTCCAAAGAAAGAGCCCCCAAAGGAGGGGGCCTCCCCAGAGCTCAGCTGTCTGGGGTGTGTGTGGGTGACAGAGAGAAGTCACTATATGAGATTACATTACAGAACGTGAGGCAAAGGCGCTTGAGGTGAGTAGCTCTGCTTTGAAGAAGGAATGCAAACTGTTCCCTTGCCGTTAATTCTTGGGACGGCTGCCCTCCTAACAAAGCGCTTCTTCACGTGGGGCAGCCTGAGGGAAGAGGAAGACTGAGTGGTTGTGCTAAATGGAGACTGCCTTAAGGTGTCCGAGTGCTCTCCAGCCAGGAAGAGGGAAGCAAGGGTGTGGGTGTGAGAAGGCCGTGAGGTTGGTTGATGGTTTATAGGGAACGGAAAGCTGCCGCTCCGTGGCGCTGGCTAATGGACACTTCCTGTTCCCGTAGTGTATGTTCTGCGGAAGAATCTGCTGATGCAGGCCCGGTGGTTCCACATCCTCGGAATGATAATGTTCTTCTGGTCATCTGCCCATCAGTATAAGTGCCACCTCATTCTCAGCAATCTCAGGAGAAATAAAAAAGGTGAGGTGTCTTCTGGGGCCTCTCAAATGGCCTCTCGCCCACAGAGCTGGCTTTCTCTGTCCCTTCCTTCCTTCCCTTGTCGATATCAAATACTCACTTTTGACAAACACCGTCCGAATCATGATCTTCTGCTTAGTAAAATCAGATGGCAGATCTCCCTGACAGATCTAGCTCTGGCAGTCTGTGACCCTGTCCTGTTCCCACCTCTGGGGACAGCACCACTCACATGTGTTTGATGGGATGTGGAAAACTTATATTAGTATGAACTTGTATGACTCCCAGCTGAAGGAAAGAAACTTGGCTTCTGAGTTAGCCTGGGCTGACTCATTATGGGTACAGTTTGAATTATTTGTGTTTTATAGAAATGGAGGCACAATGAGATTCAGCAGTTTATGTGAAGTTACACAGTGATCAACTGGAAGAGTCAGGATTTGAACTCATGCCTCCTGGCTCTGGCATCTGAGCCCTTGTGTGCTTATGAGAACTGATGGGAAACCCAAGCAGAAGGTTTTTTACATTTTTTGATTTGTTTTTTGGTTTGAGTTTTTCTTGGTTGGTTGGTTGGTTGGTTGGTTTTTGTTTTTCTAATTGCTGTTGTTGTTTTGAGATGGGGTCACTCTAGTGTAGCCCTGGCTGTCCTAGAATTCACTAGGTAGACCAGGCTGACCTCTAATTCCCAGAGATCCTTCTGCTTGTGCCTCCCAAGTGCCGGAATTAAAGCCATGTAACACTCATGCCTGGTTAAAGCTGATGGACAGTGGGGATGTGAGAGGATTTCATACACGGTAGAGTTTCTGTCAGTGGTTTCAGAAGTGGAGCGGTAACAAGCCATCTCCCTTGTGTTTCAGGTGTGGTCATCCACTGCCAGCACAGGATCCCCTTTGGAGACTGGTTTGAGTATGTGTCATCGGCTAACTACCTAGCAGAGCTGGTGATCTATGTCTCCATGGCTGTCACCTTTGGGCTCCACAACTTAACCTGGTGGCTGGTGGTGACGTACGTCTTCTTCAGCCAAGCCTTGTCCGCATTCTTCAACCACAAGTTCTACAGAAGCACGTTTGTCTCCTACCCAAAGCATAGGAAAGCCTTCCTCCCGTTTTTGTTTTAGAGCAGGCTTTATGGTGAAGAACGCAAGCCAGGTGACAGATGCCATCCCTAGAGACACTGAAATGGACTGAAGTACACTTTCGGCAAGAATGTTTGACAGTCCCTGTTCTACTTCAGTGCCAAACAGTGTTCACCAGGCGAGGTGTTGTTCCAGGTGGAGAAGACATTCTGGCAAACCAGGATCCGCTTCCTGTCAAGCTTTACTGATGACAAATAAACAGTGTCTCCAAGCTGCTTTACAGCCACGCTAACCAGGAGTATAAACAGTGTTGCATGGATACATGCATTCTTGAGTCTCTCTCTCTCTCTCTCTCTCTCTCTCTCTCTCTCTCTCTCTCTCTCTCTCTCTCTCTCCCTCCCCCTCCCCCACCCTCCCTCCCTCCCTCCCTCCCCCCACTTCTCTCTCTCTGTGGGAACAGTGAACTGCACTGAATGCTGTGGGTGATCATAGGTTTTTAATTGCCACATGCCAATAAAAACAGGAACCTCTGAAAATAACATGAATGTACAGTATCAGACCCATGGCTCCAGGGAGAAAGGGGTTTGTAGGCTTAGTTAGCATTCTTCATTTTCTCATTGATCGCTCCAGTTATATCCCCACTCCCTCGCTTGCCCTGCAACCAACCTATTAACAAGTTTGGAAACCTCTTTGATGGAATTCTCTTTTTGACACTTGTACTGAAAACATCGAGAAATAAAATATTTTTATATGTATGCGTACACACATGCCCTGGACTGGGTAACATGGAAGGAAGCAGTCTCTCTCGAGCCTTACAATGTTTACATATGCCTGGGTCTGTTTCAACTATGGAGAGAATCCAAAGGATAACCAGGAATAAAGCTACACCTTTGACAGCTTGTGTTAAAGGAAATATCCAGTTGGGTCAATGGGAAGCAGAGACATGGGGTGAAAGACTGAAGCAAGAAAGAAAATACTGTTGTCCTGGCAACAGGAAAATCTCCACATTCCTACAATGGAAAATGTTCTGGGCTGGGATATAGTTGGATAGTCTGACTTCAGCTCCCGGTACTAACAGAAAAAAACTTGAGCCTACTGTTTACTAGCTGAGGTACTTGAAGTTTTTGTTGTTGTTGTTTTGTTTCTTTGGGTTTTTGTTTGTTTGTTTGCTTGTTCGTTTGTTTTGTCTTTTTTTTCTTGAGTCAGGGTCTCATGTAGCCCAGGCTGCCTTGAAATCATTATGTATCAGAGGGTGATCTTGTACTTTTGACCCTCCCGGCTCAATCTCCCAAGTGCTGGAATTGCAGGTGTGTGCAGTCCAGTGCCGTGGACTGAGCCCAGTGCTTCTTGTATCCTACGTACTTTGCCTGTGTGTCCAGCCGCCATCCTACTCTGTTAATACAGATGCCATGTATACTACTGAGTAAGACACCCCAAATGCTGGCGTTAAAGGCATGTGCCACCAGACCTAGCCTTGGGTAGGGAATCTACAGTAGACTGAAGTAAGGATACCACCAAAATCTAACTTGGTGACCTAGTCAGTTTTTTTCGAGTTACTGACAGAAGTATGGGTGAGGGGTTCCTTACAGGAGCAGTAGTGACTCAAAGACAGCTGCATCACCAAGTTTCGCCCCAGCCTGGGTGACAGCTCACAAAGCTGGGAACCTGGAGCACACTGCACAGCCTGCAGGCCACTTAACAGGTTAGAGGGTATCCTCTCCAGGTAGCTCAGTTGATCTCTGCTTCTTCCAGTCATCTTAGCTTGTCTGAGTGTCTCTTGGCAGTCTTGCATGTTATATATTTCGGAGGAGCCTAGTGAAACTGCTCGGTTCTAGGAAGTTCCTGAAGCCAGTGAATTGTCTCTTTCCTGAGTTTAATGAGCTTCCCTTCGGGATGGAATCTGCTAACTCCCCTTAAAACATCCAGTTGCTTCACCTCCCTCTTAGCATCTTGTGCTTGCTGAGCCTCCCTTAGAGCAGAAGGTTTAAATCTTAGAGGAAACTGTAAGCACTTGCTTACAAAACCCATGTCGAAGCTCCTCTGTGAATCCTTTTGTTGCCTCTTCTCTACCACCAATTAAATCATCATTTAACCAAGATTGTTCTGTCTGTTCATGTAAATGAGGTTTATTGTTTATCATTTAGAATTTGCTGTGCTGTCTTTGGGACTAAGCCTCAAAACTTTTCCAGCATAGTAGGTGGATGTAAGTCATATGGCAGTTTGGTCTTAATTCCCATACAGATAGCATACATGATTTTAAATAAAGAGTCTAAAGGAAAGTTGTGTGTTGCTTTAGGATGAAGCTTTACACCTAATGTCACTGAGGATTTGGACTGTGGGATACACCTATGGGACCCTGTCAGTCTGAGAGAGCTGCAGATCCTGCCCTCCTGCCCTTGCTGTCCCTTACACACTATCCTCTCTTTCTTCTTTTTCCTTGCCCAAGCACGTCACCTGTAGGTGAAGGTGAAAGGGGGAATAGAGAAAGACTCAGAACAAGCTTGGGATGTAGCTCAGGTCCTAAAGCACTTGCCTAGCATGCATGAGTCCCGGAGTTCGATTCCCCAACACTATAAAACCAGATATAGTCATGAATGCCTGTAATCCTAGAACTTGGAAAATGGAGGCAGGAGGATCAGAAGTCCAAGGTCATCCTTGGCTACAAAACAAGTTCAAGGCCAGCTTGGGATACATGAGAACTTCTCTCAGAAAAGAAAAAAGTAGGCATGTGTGAGTGTGTGTGTGTGTTTGTGTGTGTGTGTGTGTAAAGTAGCATGGATGTTGAATGAGGCCTGAACAATACAGCATACCTGAGAACCATTCTACATCTAAAGGGGCCAAAACCACCACTGTGTTTTGTGTTTGTGAAAATATCCCAAAAGGGCGAATACCATACAGATTTATAAATTCTTCACATGGATGACTCACAAACAGCTTGATGTGCAAATTCTTCACCTCCTAGGATGTAACGGCAACACTGTCAAGTTAGGATGCTGAGCTACCTAGGAACTGCATTCTCTACAGCGCTGGGCTGAAAGTAGCCTTTGTTTTGGGCTGTAACTCATCCTGCACACTAACATCTTTAGATAAAAAGAAAAAAAATCTTTAGAGTGAGCATGAGTTACTTGTCTGCACAATGTGTTTGTGTTACATTTCTAGTGCTATGTGTGATTATTACTGCAATCTGTTATGGGTAGGATAGACTGGTATCTCCCAGCAGTTTGTGTGTTAGAAGGGTTGGTTGTAGCTATCGGTTCTTTTAAGTGATGGTTGGAAAGCTGGATAGGTAGCTCAGCGGTTAAGAGCACTCGTTGCTCTTCCAGAGGATCCAGCTTCAATTCCTAGCATCCACATGATGGCTCACAATTGTCTGTAACTCCAGTTCCAGGGCATATAACACCATCTTCTGAACTCTAAACATCAGGCATGTGCATAATACACAGATATACCCATACATACAGGGTTTTTTTTTAATTTAAGAGATGATTGGCTCATACGTTAGTCCATTGGTTAAATCATTAGCTGTTCAAATAGACTTTTAATGGGTGGGGTCTAGTTGAAGATGAAACTCTCTGCAGTCAGTCTTTGAAGTGTTTATCTGTCCTTTGGCAGTTTCTCAGCTCTCTGTCTCCTGCTTGCTCTAAGGTGAGTACATTTCCTCTGGCATGCCCTGCTGCCGTGATGTTTCTGGCTCAATATCATGGGGCTTCTCCTAGGAAGATGCATCCACCTCAGATAGAAAAAGTACCAACAGACTAAAAACCTATGTCTAAATCTCACTGGATGAACCATTGATCTGGGGTAAATTTGTAGGTACATGGGTGACAGCTACTCCACCAGTCCCTTAGGCAGCTTGAAGCTATACCATTTCCAAGTCTTACCCATGGTATTCGCACCATAGAAAAGTCCCCTGGACAACTTATGTGTAACTACTAAAAGAGTTTGCCTCCAGGCCAGATGTGGTGGCATATGTCTTTCATCCCTGCACTCAAGAGGCAGAGGCAGGTGGATCTCTGAGTTCGAAGCCAGCCTGGTCTACAAAGCGAGTACCAAGACAGCCAGAGCTACACAGAGAAACCCTGTCTCAAACAAAAGTTTGCCTCCCACAAGTGACTATTTAACCTTTGTATAACCTTGGAGAAGGGGTGGCCTTATGAACCCATGAATCATGGGAAAGCTCCCCGATGGCCTTCATGAGGGAATGTTACTGGGTCTGATCTAATAAGGATCTTCTGTGGGTGAATAGAGTTGCTTTGATTCAAGATGGCAGTGAGGACATCCCACCCATGGGGACAAGCTTCACGATGCCATAACTTTTTGCTCCTACATTCTTTCCACCCCTCCAATTGGCAATGTTCCTTGAGCCCTGGAGAGGTGACAAGGTGTAAATTATTTTCTTCCACTGAGGGCTGAGCATTGAACTACTCCACCACACCAACAGCCATTTAGTCTAGGCAATGTGAGTAGTTATGACCTTTGTAATATCTGCTCCCCTGTGTTAGCATTTTGTATAAGCTCCGCCCCACACTTACCTGGCAACAGCCAGGTATGCCTGACTCACTATAAAAAGGGCTGCTTGCCCCCTCTGCTCTCTCTTGCTCCTGTCTTCTTGGTCCCTCTCGGTCCTCTTGTCCCTTCCCCCGCCTCCCCATCCCCTTTCCTGCTCTCCAGATGCTCATGGCAAGCCTCTACTTCCTTCCCTTCCCTTCCCTCCCCTCCCCTCTCCCTCCCCCTCCCCTCCCCCTCTCCCTCCCCTCCCCCCCTCCCCTCTCCCTCCCCCTCTCCCTCTCCCTCCCCCTCTCCTCTCCCTCCCCCTCTCCTCTCCCTCCCCCTCCCCCTCCCCCTCTCCTTCCCCCTCCCCCTCCCCTCCCCCTCCCATCTCTCTCTGCCCCTCTCTCTTTTTCTCTGCCTTTCTCTGCCTGTACTACCCTCTTAACTCCCCTTCCCATGCCCTGAATAAACTCTATTCTATACGTGTGGCTGGTCCCTCAGGAGGAAGGGATGCCTCAGCACGGGCTCACAGAGGCACCTCCTTCCCCACACCTCACCACATATCCCCCCTCTTTATCTTTATATAAGCACATCACCCTGACCAAGGCCAACAGCAGTGATAATTTATGGCCAGAAACGTAGTGTTTAGAAGGCCACAGTCACAACACATTCCACTAAAAAAACAATAATAGTAACTTCCCCATTGAGCCTATGACTTTCCTCAGACAAGACATTTTTTTTTTTTTTATTTTGGCTTGAAGTGTCAATCCTGGAAAGTAGTTGTTTGTGCGCAGACAGTTGTGCTCCTGGGGGGCACGCATGCCTTGC